ACTTGTTAAACTCTTAAAACTGGTGAAAATATATTTCTATATGTACTTTCCAGTAGCAGCAAAGTAGATACTGATCATAAAGTTGTACGTATCTAGTATCAGAAATTCGGTACTTATAGGATAGTAGTATAGGGGCATTTTAATAAAGGTTCCGTTTCCGAAAAGGGGGTGACGTTTTTTCTTAATAATAATATTTTCAACAAATTTTTCTTATTTCTGGAAATTATATCACTTAAAATATTACAACTAAGCATAAAATATCGGGCGAGCAAAATAATTTGTAATCGGATCATTTTTGGAATCGTATGTCTTTTTTGAACTGATGTGTCTCGCTACGTCATAGGAAAGTTTTTAACAAAATCAATTTTAAGTGAGATTAAGTTAATCATACATTTAACGAGGTGTTTAGTGACGTCCGATTGGCGTAAAAATATACGAGAACTCCAAAAAATATTAAAAATGTTAGGCAGATAATGGAGTAGACCCCTACAACATTCACCCGACATCTAGCGCAGCAAATCGTGTATTGAACTTTCCGAGCAATATTGTGAAAAGATTTAGCACTGTTTTTTTATCGAGTAACATTACATGAAGTCGATTTTCCAGCTAGAGTTGACTATTGTCAGTAATTTTTGGACATACTTGATGAGCTGCTGTTAAAAAAAAACTTTTTTGTAGACGAGACCTGGTTTCATTTAAATGTCTTGAAGCTCCCCTTCAAAAAATTGACATTTGAGCTGCAATTAGTCAACGACGGATATTACGATCTATATATTCTTTGAACGAAGTCGTGTCAATAATAATAATGTGATTCACTGGCTTATTTAATGTAATTCTCTTCAAGGTAACCTAATAGCTGCCCTATTTAAAGAACACTATTTATCGAACACCTGTTAACAATTTGAAGAAATTAAAGTTGGAAATAACGGAAAAAATTAACCACAAAAACAATAATGCAGAGACGTTGAGGTATGTGATCGATGGTGTTAAACGAAGAGCTCATTTATGTCTACAACAAAGTGGGCAACATTTTTAGCATTCACTGTGATTTCATTTTAATTTATTTATTAAAAAATGTCCGATATCTTTGCTTTTACATTTTTCATTTTTTGATATTCATCATTATGGCTTAATCAACGACATATCAAATTCTTTCCAAGTATGACTCGATTATAAATTATGTTGCTCGCCAATATTAATATTATTAATCACCTCAAATATTTTTTTATTTATTAACCAAAAATAATGATAGTAAAAAATGGAGAAAAATAGCCTACGTAAATTCACTGCTTAAAAAAAACGAAAAAAGTATATTGCGAAAGTACCATTTAATTTTTCCATTTTTTAGACTACTTTTAACTTTTTTTTACTTTTTCTTTTATTTCAAAAAAAAGTAGAAAATTAGCTTCATTAGCTTCACCATTTAATATTCGAAGATTATTGCAATTTTCTTACAAAAAAAAAATAATTAATTTTCTGACTAACGTTGTTCGCATGTTCGCTAGTGTAACTTGACCTAAAATTTAGTGAAATGTTGGATTATTCAGAAAAGTATAATAAATGAAATAATTTCATGAGTCTCAAAAATAGATGCTTCATTAGTTAATACGGTTGACTTCAAAATAGAATTGGAAATGAAATTTGACCTAATGTGAATTGAACATTTAATTTGTATATTTATGTCAATCCTGTCTATTTGACAATAGTATCTGTAAAAAAACTGTAACTAACATTTCTGACACATAAGTGGCAGTTTTTTAGCCTACATTCTAAAAAGCCTTTTCAAATTATGATATATTAATAAAATTTGACAGAACTTTTTCTAACATTTCCTTTTAGCTAACTCACCCTATACAAACCCAATATTGGGTTCATGAGAGGATTTTTCTTCATTTGTTATTTTACAAAAAAAAAAATAGTAAAAAGACTAAAATTTTGGCTTAACTTTAAGCAAGCATTTCACTTATAAAAACCTTTAAATGGGTGGGTTTTTAAAAAAATAAATTTTCAGAAAATTAAAAACTCAACTTTGGTTTATTTAAAGACTTCTATAGTTTTAATTGCAGAATTAATTATATAAAGCAATGGAACAATTTTGATTCCTTTGACGGGTTTTTTTTTTAGAAAATTACAATTTTCTCCCCTCTTGTAAACTCAGTCCGGAAACATTATATACGTGCCATCATTTAAACATTAGTGGGGAAAAATTTGAGAACACATTTTAATGTGTTTCAATAAAATAAGATGAATGTGAGGAACGTTCTATTTCCAGAAATGTGGATGTTTAAGCCTAAAGGCGAACTCATAACCCACAGTTAGGATTTATATTGTAAAATTTTGAGATAACGTCATCAATATGTTAGTGTTTGGTTAGCGTTTTAACATCTACAAAATAAAGTAAGTAAAACAAATGTGGGCACAGTTAAAAATAAATTTTATTTAAATATACATTAATAGAAATTAAGATGATTCTTTGAGTCCATCGGAAAGTCCTCAGTTCATTATTTATTATTACTTCTGATATAATTTGTATAGACGTACCATATTTTCAAAGAAAAGAAGAATTTTGGTTAGCGTTTTACCATGTATAAAATACAGTAAGTAAAACAAATGTGGGCACCGTTAAAAATAATTTTTAATTAAATATAAATTAATAGATATTAAGGTGATTCTTTGAATCTATCGGGAAATCCTCAGTGATTTAGTAGATAAAAAAATAACAGTCTAATAATATGTACGTATGTATGTTCCTACATTTCTTGCAAACTGTGCACAGAAAATCGGCTACTCCTCAATTCAATTTTCGTTATCTGTGGTGACGAGTCAACGGTTTAGAATAATATTGGGCGTATCCAGGTCGATAGTGTTATTAACACCACTCACGAGCCGGGTCCATAGACGAGATCTCGGACAGCAGCTGATTTTGATGACTCACTCAGATACTCGTGCCCGAATTGCAACCGCTAACAATACCCTAAATGGCCAGTGGTCACCCTGAAAGACGTCCCGCGGTTTTAATAATCGATCTTCCTCCTGACCATCTGGCTCCCATTGGAGACACGGACTCCACTCCGCCTGTCACTACTAACTTGTCCTGTCGCAGGACCGGTCTTGCAATTGTGCAAAAGTACCTACTTACGGGCAAATAATGCCTTATTTATGCCCACAACCAGGGTGGGCCGCCTCAACGGAGCTGATACGCAGGAAGGTGTAAATAATGGCAGTTTGCCAGGGTTGACAATGGTCTTTCAGACGTTTAATAGTCGAGAAGTTTCAATTTTTAATTAAATCCCAATGGCGCACGCCTCTACGACATCATCTGCCCATTTAAAACAAGTCCTCCTTTTCAAATCGTTTCTATTGTAGAACTACCCGTAGATTTATTGCCGACTGTTTACTTGACACCAACTGACCACTCAATTGTTGAGTATGAGACTATCAAAAGTTCCCTCTTTTATGTAAATGATTCAAATCATTTGTTAGCTGATGTAGTTATCCAGTTCTTTTCTTTTGTTAAACGATAATTTCTCTGAGATGATCAAGTCATTAATTAAATTAAACCGTGTAAATTAAGCTACACGGTATTTTGCAAAACTACAGGAAAGTTTTTCGCCTAAATGATGACAAATTACACAGAAATGTGTGGTAGTCACATAGCAATAAATTTCAAAAGGTTCATATTAATTTTAAATTTGGGTCATAATTCAAACTCTGCATAGTTAATTTCACAACTGGTTTTTTTTTAAGTGATAGGGTAAATGTGTACAAGAGTGCGAATATGTATAAGAGTACGCACTGATGATTTCTGCTTATTAGTGCCATCTGGATAAGATGAAGTTATACCATTCAGAATTTAATGCTAAACCTGAGATAAAGGTGCAAAAGTGACCTGAATATAGTTTATAGTTTGGTCGTACCGACGATTTTATGTTCACACGTTGTGTGGATGTAATTTTTACCGCTCATAGTTTTAGTTTTTTGTAAGGTACGTACCAGTTCTTTTATTTTACAGTAATAATTTTCATTAGCTGTAACTTTTAAGGTCTCGTTATACACTGAAAGTTTTATACTTTCTATCCATCAAAAGCTTTTCACTTTGAAAACATTAGGTTATGTACAAATGTACAAGAGTGCGCAGCGAGGTATTGTATAAGAGTGCGCATTGCTTGCAATACGTAGTCTAATAGTCTTGGAGATACATATCATACGATAATGAATTATTTAACTCTACTACTTTGTACTGCTTCTCAAGTTGTGTGGTGGTGGTTATGGTGATTTTTTTTGTTATTTTTACTTCCTGAGCGTGTTGTAATCGAGTCCGTCGACCGTTTCTCTACTTTTACGTTTTCTCGACTTTTCAAGACCCCTAAAGTACGAAGAAATATGTCTCCCGTTTTATGTGTAGTCTCTAGTCACTTATTTCCATTTATTTTCACCTTAGAAACAAAGATTTTTTCATAAAATGTAATGCGCACTCATAAGCGTTCAAATGCGCACTCTTGTGCAATGAACTGTCTAAGAGTGCGCATTTACACATCTTGACAAAAATTGAAATTACTCTTAAAATATAGTGGTCTTGGGACGTACAATTAAATATATCTGATCTCTAAACATGTATACAACGAACCCATATCATAAAATTTGTCTATCCAAAAAAATTAAAAAGTTGTTGACAGTTTTACACTAAGTGCGTACTCTTGTACACATTTACCCTATCAATTTCCATATTTTTTACAAATCATACAAGGTTTTACAATAACCTTAAATAAAGACAAAAATCAAAATTTTAAAAATGTTAACAGCAGATTACACTGTTTTTTAATAATCACAAGGCAAACTAATATTTTTTTCCGGAAATCGTCATTGAAACAGCATTTCCTTGCGACATTAGGCGCAGGAAAATTGGATTTCCCTGACTAGTACTGTAAAAACTACAAAAATGACGCAAAATAATTAGTTATTTAAACAAGAAAAATTTATTCAAAATTTCGTAAATTACACTATTTACAGATATTAACATTAATTGTAGAATTCGATATATTTGCAATGTTAATTCCAGACAGAGATTTATGATCAAGTTTAACCTTTTTATCAAAAATTTCAGTCGAGATTTCGGTGCAACAGATTTCAGATGAATCACTACTTGTAGAGGGACACGTCTCGATATTAGTGAAGGGTATTTTTTTCGGACCAGCTTGTATTTTATTAGCTATATCTAATTTATTTTCGATGGACTCTTCTATGTATCCTTCTGCTACTGAACTGCTTTGCCATCCTCCATGCCTTTTTAAGTTGGTAATATCTCCTCCTGCGTCTACTAGTAAAGTTGCGGAACTGCGCCGCATACAATGTCCTGTGTATTCCAGAGGTGTTGGTAGACCAAGGTAGGTAGCAATTTGAGAAGGAAATTTACCAAATGAATGCAAGCCCACTGGTTGGACCGTACATTTCCCTTTCTTGTAATTTAAAAATAAGCGCTTGTGTGGAGTACTAGGCGGACGTAATTCCAAATAACGTCTGTATGTAGCAAGATTTCTTTCATCAACAACTACAAAGCGTCGAGGTTTTTTTGTTTTAGAATCAGGAATGTGTACTATTAGCACGTTATTTTGATCTTCAATGTCGTCAACTAACATCCTCGATAATTCGTCGCATCGACAGGCTCCAGACACCCCAAAAATAAGCGCCACCTGAAATTACCAAATTTAATAAAACTTAAATATGTAATCATTGTAATAACTTACTTTCATTAATAAAAATTCCTTGTCGGGAGCTTCAAGCAGAAATTTATCTATCTGGTCCCGAGACAAACATTTCGATTTTTTTGGTTGGTAACCAGTCGATTTTCGTTTTAGGTAAGCAGTTACCTTACAAAACTTGCTGATATCCAAATTTTCCTTCAACAAAAGCACGGCTTTCAACATAGAGTAAGTGCTCCAGAGGCTTGAAGCCTTATAAGAACTTGATTTTTCCGCAAAATAAGCCAGAAATACGTCTTCCGTTAGCGAAGTAACATTTTTAAGCCTACGCCAATCTTCAAAGATTTGGAACTGCTTTTCATACCGCTCCTTAGATTTCGACGGTAACAATTCTTCTGTAGCAGCAGCGGCTGCTTTGCTTAGGTCAAAAGGAACATACTCACCAGTGTTTTCGCTTGTATTCATAATTAATTAATGAAATAAACACACAGCTCTGACGTACGCACAAAATTTTATAATTGTTTTGTTTGTAACCATCGTTTTCAAGAAATTGACAAACTAGATTTTTGCGCAATTAATTAAAAAACTTGTTGGAAAATCTCGATTTTTAGCGATTTATTGCGATTTCCGGAAAAATTTAATACAAAACTCGTCAGTAAAATGTCTTTTTTCACTAGCAGCCATGACGCATGCAAATGTCGACTCATTTAGAGGGAGCAAATTCAACTTTTGCGACCACCGGTTCAAAAAGAAAAATTGAGGTTATGTACGCAATGTTTGATGTGATTATTTCTTAAAAAATGAACAAATGTGTGCTACAAACATTACTTGAGTATACGCATGGTAGTTGGTAGACGGTAGAAGATAAAATGATTAACTCAGCGACAAGTATAAACGGTTTTCTTTGTGTTGAAGATTTAGATTAAGTTTGATTAGGAATCAAAACAAAATCATGTTGCGTCAAAAAATTTAACGTTTATTTTTTCAGTTTATTGTCTTATGATTTCTACTAGTGAAAAAAATAGTATATTAACCACGGTTGCAAAGCCACTTCTAGACCTCGCGCTTCAGAGCCCTCGACGCTGCGCGTCTCGGGTTCTAATTTGCGCTCGGTCTAGAATGCTTGGCTCTGCAACCTTGGCTAATAATATACTATTTTTCACTAGCAGCCATCAAGCACGCAAATGTCGACTCATTTAGAGGTAGCAAATTCAACTTTTGCGACCACCGGTTCAAAAAGAAAAATTGAGATTATGTACCCAATGTTTGATGTGATTATTTCTTAAAAAATGAACAAATGTGTGCTACAAACATTACTTGAGTATACGCATGGTAGTTGGTAGACGGTAGAAGATAAAATGATTAACTCAGCGACAAGTGTAAACGGTCTTTTTTGTGTTGAAGATTTAGATTAAGTTTGATTAGAAATCAAAACAAAATCATGTTGCGTCAAAAAATTGAACGTTTATTTTTTCAGTTTATTGTCTTATGGTTTCTACTAGTGAAAAAAATAGTATATTAACCACGGTTGCAAAGCCATTTCTAGACCTCGCGCTTCAGAGCCCTCGACGCTGCGCGTCTCGGGTTCTAATTTGCGCTCGGTCTAGAATGCTTGGCTATGCAACCTTGGCTAATAATATACTATATTTGACTCGGAGCTTTAAAATACTCGGCACAAAGTGCCTCGTATTTCAACATAGCTCCTCTTCAGTAATGAGACATTTTCCTGACTTTTATGTAAATATCTATTGTTTCGAAAGTATACTGCTATTAGAATTATTACAAATTATTTCTAGAATATTTTAATGTGGTTTATACAATTCTGGAAGAGTATTTTTCAAATGTCTTCGTTAAAATTTTTACTTTAATTTAATTTTTATTCCATAACAATTTACCTATAGTTCCTTTTGACAGAGGTTATTAAAAAGAAAATAAGAATAAATTACGAGATTCAAAATTTACTACCTAACTAAGAAACTAATTAATGAAATTCCTTAAAATTTGTAGTAAATCACTAATACTGACCTGGTGCTTACTACTTACATACCTACTTGTCCATTCTCTTCAAAAAGCTAGGGATTTCATCACAAAATTTTATTCAGTAAATCTTACGACATACTCTTCCATTTGCCGTATACACTTTACACAAACAAACTACTACTTTTATAAAAAATGTCAAATTGGTCAAAATGTTTATATTAAAAAATACTTACATAATGAACGCCTTCGAAACCTTGGTAAGTCAGTGAGTAATACGAATAAACTTACTAAATGCTACTACTTTACTTAGAAAATAGCAGAAATATAATGTAGGGCCAAAATAGAACTGTTAAAATATTCTGAAAATCAGGTTTTGCGACTAGCTGAAATTTTAGGTGTAGATTTTGTATACCTACTTAGTTTAAAATACAAAATTTGTGTTATTGTGATTAAGTTCTTAAATTCGGTCTATTTTTTTAACGGCAATACAAAGTTAATTATTAAGTGTCATCGAATTCAGTGATGTGTTTTTTCTTTAATTTTTGTCAAATAAAAAAATGGTTCTTGTTTGTCACGTATTCACCAAAATTTTACTTTATTTGATTGGTTCAAATGTACTGTTGGATATAAGCTTTCTGAGTGGTGTTGCTTTAAATTGAGTTGAAGCCTAATTTACCTATAAAAGTATGAAAAAGTGTTTATCTCGGGTTATTAACAGTGGGACAGTATTAGAAATTGTACTAAGGAATTTTTTCAAATATTTACTTTCATCAAGTTTCATAATAAAACAATGCTTAATGGCAATGCGTAGGGAGTATTTTTTTCTATTTTCAGTGATTACATGTTCAGATTTAATATGAATGAAACTTTTTCAGCGGGTGTCACAGATAATAATTGTTTGCCTAGTCAAATTGTTGTTGATAATAGTACATCTTTTCCTTGTGAGAAATTTTTTGATATCGTCGATAAATTAGACAAAATAAATATCGTCATCATTTGTTAACAATAAAGTTATTATAAGGTAGAAATCATACAAATCAAGTAGATCAGAGGATACTAATGAAGCCGAAGGTCAAAACCAAAAGGAAACTGAGTTAAATAAAAAAAGATCTCAAGAACTAAATGGTTCAAAAGATTGTCTACACTATCTAAGTAAGTAAAAATAGAGATAGATATGGAATAGGTGTTGGACCAGAAGTATTGGTTGAAGATGTCATCAAGAATTCAGCAGCTTGCAAATGAAAATCACTCAGAACATGCCAGTTCAGTAACAAAGAAGAGGGAATTAAAAGTTTAGCAAAAAAATTTTTTTTCATTTATCGTATTTTCGTAAAATAGAATCAGCGAGCAACATTTTAAATTCGTAACTAATTTATAATCTTATCTGTTACAATAACTGTAGAGGGATGTCTGGTTATACCTTAACTGTTTTGAATCAATTATTATTAGTTTAATCATTTAAAGGACAAATCTGTTAAGCAAAAGCTTTGAACTGCCGCCTTCTGTTTTGGGTAGAGAATAAGGTAGTACTTACTACTAGTGTGGAAAGGATAATGGTAACCAAATGGATGCATTTCTACTGTGCTAGAATTTCTAGTGTGTCTAGAGTGATAATCTACCACTGTTATTTTATTTATGTTAGGTTCAATTGTATCGAAAAACCACAAAACTGACATCCATGTGCGTCCCAAACTTTTAGAAAGTACTGAATATTTTCTACAAATATGTCTTAAATCGACTTACTAATAAGTCAAATGTGAAGGAAGATAACGAATTATCACTGTTGTTCTTTCGTGATGGTATGGAAATATTTTTCCTATTGAATTAGTCTGTTTCATATTGGTGTTACCTGAATACATTTTAAACAACTTGTTGTTAGAAAATTTTCTTTCCTTTTCAACAGATTTTTACTTTTACTTCAAATGCGGAAAAAGAAACTAATGAATTCTAAATCGTTAAAAATATAGCCAAGTGGAACTGAATCAAAATTTCAAAATCTACCCAACAACTCAAAAATACATATCAATTTATTGTTTTGTTTTTATCTGCACATATTTAGAAGTACCTACAGAATTAGTGCTAGATTGTAACCTAAATAAAACAGTTTGGATAAATTTTTTAGGACAATGAAAATGGTGTAGTCTTGGAAATGCTATTTGGCACATTTTCTTTTTTTTTTATTTTGTTACATAATTTGTCGTGTATCGTGTCTGTCAATCGGAATAGATGTTTAGAAGTTTCTTTTTTCGTTTTACTTTGATTTTGGTTTATAGCTGTCAAGGATCTTTTAATTTTGGAACAGTTTTGTTGAATTCTATAGATATTGTCAACATCAGCTCTCCAGACCTATTTTAACGGAACTAACTATACAAAAATTTTCGCCGAGCTTCATCATAGCTGGTTACATATTTTTGTGTCAGTAGTACTCAAATATTTGAAATCATTATCACGGGCTTTGATTAATTACATTTAAAAGTTTCTCATTTCAATACAGAGATACCGAAATATAGCTTTTGCGACTGAAACAAAATCATTAATAATGAAAGACATGAACTCTTATTAAATCTTATTAAAGCGTGTTACAGTGTCGACAATATGTTCCTGAAACAAGGAATTTCGGGTAAGAAAATTCTCTTTCAGAAATATAGCGTCGCTTTTACGATTCGAATCATTATTTTACACCTCTAGGAAAGTGTTCGCATAAATATGGAATAACCTGACGCTTTATGCTTCCCATAAAACTCTACTTTGTGTTGAATAATCTTCAAATTGCCTGGGAGCACATTTGAGCATGAAATATGCGTTCGCGGCAAGTTGGAAAGCCTTGGAAAATGGAAACGAAAAGCGGCCAAGTGTAGAAGCGATGAGGCCAACGTCACATTAGCACAATGCTGCTCTGTTGATGCTGGGGCGGATTCAGGGAGAATAACACGGTTTCGTCTACGTCAACCCCGCTTTAGCTCGCGATGAGTTGGGTGGAATTCTTGCCGGATGGCGCGTAAGCCTGGAGACAGAATGAATGGCGACAAACTTTGTTGTCTAGAAGGATTGCTCGGCAGATAAGACACTTCAGCTCGCTGGAAACAAGACTGGATAGGGTATTATACAAATTCTCTCCCTTATTCTGTAGGCCATTGTTTATCCGATATGCCCGCGGCTCCAATTAAGTCGAGAAGGAATAAAGCGGTTATCAGGATACTAAAACTGTATCGCCCGGCTAAAATGTGATGGGAGCGTTGAAGACCATTAATTTGGCTTGCTAATTTTATTATTGCAGTTTACATTAAACTGGAACAGTTTTTATCTGGGTTTATGGATACGTTCGGAGTCTCGAAAGCCGACAGATACACCGTAATATTGTTAATGTATGCGCAGCTATAAATCAAAGTTTCGGATGGTAAAATTTTGTTCTGTTTTTAATATATTTAATCTTGCACGTTATGCTCACCCCGGCTGAACCTAACGATTTTCGTTCGGAGTGAATA